GGGATACCTACTGAAGTCTAGTGTTCTTCTCTGAGGTAATTCCAGGCATTAACTTGCATCCTACAGATAAAAACACATTTCTTTTATGAACATGCTTGCACAATCCAGAAAATAAACCTGGCCTTCATGAAGTCCATTCTTGGCTTCACATAATAGAGGAGCATGTCCCTCATGTTGACTCACTTCCCTGTCCCAGCCAGGTAACTCAGAGAGGACATCTCTTAAAATTTAATATGGAAATAACTTGGTGTAACTCAATGTTTTAAATTTTTTTCTCTGGCTCTTGCTAGTGGCAAGGCGTTCACTACCTCCACAAGGAAGCCTGTTCCATTTTAAGACAACTATCATGGTTACAAAGTTCCTTCTGCTTGCCCAGGACTCTGGCTCCCTGTGACTTTCACCTGCTCAGTGGGCAGGGCACACACTTTCCCCTATGGGAGCACTGTAGCCATCTCAGGATTCACTTAAGACTTCTGTTTTTCAGAATAAATATGCCTGATTCTTTTAACCTCAGGGAAGCTTCTGCCGAAAGCATGAAAAACTGAATTTCTGTGCAATAGGCTGTTACTACAACTGAAACATACAAGATTTGTCTTTTATCTTAATATGCAGCAGCCTTCTTGGATAATCATTACAAATACCTCCTAGGCATTTATCTTCAAAAAAATATCCCTCCACCTGCCAGCACATGTGTATATATACAACATACACATTGCTCTCCATTTTCCTTTTATAAAAATTTTTTTAAATGGTGATCTTCCTTAGCTTGGATGCTTCTACTTTAACACAGTTTCATTTAAGCAACATTCATTTACTACAAACTATGGTATTTAATTCTTTTACACTCATACCTGTTTCTCTCTGACTGCTAAGATGGGGGTGGGGGGACAGGTAAGGACTCGACCCATTGAATTTCACCCAATAATCTTTAACTTATAATAGGCTTAGCAGTGTGTCTCTATTAACTAAATACATTTAACCATCTGTTTCATTTGTTGAAAATTGTTAACTACTTTGTATATTTACAAAATTAGAAAAAAATAAAACTTTGAAACCCAGAAAACCCATGGAGGACATCCATCTAATTCATCATAGTCCACTGAATAATGTAACTATACCCTTTGACCTAAACAATTCAGAAGGGCAAGGGTGAGTGAATATTCATCTTGCCTAGAAAAGTACACCTAGGAATTAATAATAATAACAATAATAATACAGGCTCCTGTCTCATTTGTATACCAATTTTACAAGCTATGAAACAAAAATAGTAAGAGTCCTGCTTTAACTATCTTGCAGAGTTACTGTATGAATTTTATAATATAGGTAATACATGAAGAAATTTATTTAAAAGTATGAAGTATAATAAAAATACAAGGCATAATATTATTAATAATGGCACCTTTTATGACTGCAGTTGAAACACTTACAAATCCCCTCCTTTTAACACCAAGACATTTTAATTAAATTTTCTTTTTTATCCTCTTTTTTATCTCCTTTTTCCCCTTCACCAACAAGAAAACATTTCAGCATAATCTTTTAGCCTTGGACTTTAATTACAAATGCCAGCAAAGATTTACATAGAATACAAGGTAAGTATATTCTGACATTTCATAAACCTCAGCTCTCCTCTTCGACTGACTTCATTTTCCTTTTCCTTTTTTATAACCTTTACTATATTCTCCTGGAAAAAAAATTCAAGCTCCTTAGCAATATTATAGAAACTGTCACCACTGTGAATATTTTAGTTACAGTTATCCACCTCAAAACGCTTACAAGTGGCTTTTCCCTGCAAAAGTACAAGGTATACTACCTCAATTATGGTATTTAATTCTGTGCAGTAGGCTGTTACTACAACTGAAACATACAAGATTTGTCTTTTATCTTAATATTCAACAGCCTTCTTGGATAATCATTACAAATACCTCCTAGGCATTTATCTTCAAAAAAATATCCCTCCACCTGCCAGCACATGTGTATATATACAACATACACATTGCTCTCCATTTTCCTTTTATAAAAATTTTAAATTAATTTAATTAAATTAAATTAATGAAAATTATGTCCTAAAATTTTCAGGTTTTTAGATTCAATTATTATCCCACAAGAAGATTTTAGCCAGTGGAGTTGTTCTATAAATTTATAATTTAAAAGCTCATTTCCTGCATCCAGGAATGCAGATTCCCCAAAATGAGGACACAAAAGTAAAAGATCACACACACCAAAAAAATCAAGAAACAACAATGAAGAAAAGCTGTTAACTGTTCTACAGCTGGATGACAAGAAACCAAAAGTTCCCTCCCATCTACTTCATCCTTTTTTTGCTACCATTAAGTTTCATAATTTTGGGTAAACAACATATCCAAACAAACCAACAGGTCCATTTTTATGTACTTCTCTTTCTTTTTCTCAATCTCCCTGTGTTCCTCTTTCTCATACTACATTCCTCGTTCTGATAACAACAACAAATATTTACTTGAATGCCTGTAATATGCACAACTCCGTGGGCTACAGGCTAGGGAAAACATCCAAGAACATTGGCTAGTCCTGATTGAAGGACAGAGACATTAAACAAAAATCACACTAACAAATATATAATTTAGAATTGCAATATCTGTTATGAAAAGAATGAAACAATGAGTGAGAAGTAAGATTTTTGCAGGCAGACAAGATTTGAAATGGGGACCTGATGGATAAATAGGACTCTTTCTGATGGAGAGTGGAGAGAAGTGCATTCTAGCCAAGAAAACAGCATTCCATGAAGCCTTTAGGGCAGGTAAGAACTTGAAGGGTCCAAGAAACTAAAAGTAGACCAGTATAATAACTGGATCAGAAAGAATGATGGGAGGGTGGACATTTGGCCTAGTGGTTAAAACAACACTGGGGCCACCCACATGCCAAAGTCCAAATCCTTGCTCAGCTCCTGATTCCAACCTCCTGCTGATGCACACCCTGAGAGGCAGCAAGTGATCACTCAAGTGGTTGAGTGCCTGCCATCCACATTAGAGACCTGGAATGAGTTCCAGCGACTCTGACCTGGCCTAGTCCTGGTCACTGTGGGCATTTGCATAGTAACCCTAAGGATGGGAGCTCTCCGTCTCCTGTTTCAAGAAGAAGGAAAGAGCAATGAGGAGAAAGGCAAGAGCTAAGGCTGCCAATGAAGGGGCCAGATTCCATGGGGTCAACATTTTTTATGTTAGAGAGATTTGTTTGTTTGTTTGTTTGTTTGTTTTAAGTATAATAGGAGGCCAAGAAAGGACCTTTCTTGGATCCTAAAGAAAGGTAGGTAGGTTTTTTTCCCTACTATACAATTAAACTGAGATTTAAACCTAAGTAGAAAGAAAAGTGTGGGAATAAAAAACACCAAATTCAAAAAAGTGGTTAACTCTGGCATGAAGACAGGGGGATATAAAATTGGGAAAGGTTTCAACTGAATTAATAATGTTTTTATTTCTTAATACACAAAAATTTATTATACTATATACATTTTTGTATGACTGAAAGCTTCATAATAAAGTTTTTTTAAAGAATTATTGAATGCTAAGAATCTGCTGGTTCATTCCCCACCCACCCCCCCCTTCTTTCCCAAGGATCCCATTAAATCTTCTCAGTTCTGAGAGAGACAAGGGCATAGAATTTAGGGATCTCCTTCTTTTACACCTTATTGTTCCTGGCCTTTCTTCTCTAAAATTAGATGTGAGAGGCTTTTTAATCAGCTCATCTTTTGCTCTAGCATACACTATAATCTTCATAGGTTTTTAGCCACATTGTTAATATGAGGATGAAATAAGATGAAACCTAGCAGTTAGTACACAAGAGCTCAATACATGTTAACTATCACATTTATTATTTCACATACTATAGTTCCAACTATAGGCCAAACATTAGAACTAAAAAAAAAAAAAGTTTAATGTATAGAGTTAAAATGGTGCTCAAAAATACACATTCACAAAGATATATACACATGTAACAAATATTTCAAACACTAAATTTATAGTTTCTGAAGAAGATACTTTTTTGTGCTCATTTAAGCATTAAATAACAAAATGTTAATATGAGTTATTTTTATTATCACTGAAGATACATTTTTAAAGAAAAGTTAAAAATTTACATTTGTTGATACACAACTGCAATTTAAAGGAAGTTTAATATGTTAATTAACTTCTAAGAACAATTCTCCATTGACATGATCTGTGATTACATAAAGCTTCAATAGTATTCAGTACAATCCATACTGTTTTAAAGGCTCATCTTTGTAATATCAAGTAATTCATGCAAAACTTCAATCTTATACAACTGAATGTTGACATCAAAATTTCTTCCATAGCAGGCATAACAGTCTTTGGTGGAAGAACATTATAAAATCATATCTTTCTGCTTAATTTTATTTGAACAAATAGCACAGATCCTCTCATTTCTCTTTCCTTCCAATTCACAAATATAATAAAAACTGTCTTTAGAAAGTTTTTTAAATTAAACATCACAATGAAATAACTACTGGGACCCCTAAAATACCAGAACCTGTCACAGTTTGTTATCCACAAATCTAAAAAACACCTCACTGAATCTTGATTTAAATATTACACTTTAAATTATATTCTAATACTTAAGAACCCAGAACTTGGCTCTCTTGAAAGAAAACAAAAGGCAGAGAGAAACAGGTTGTCGCTCAAGATTCTTTAGTTTATATTACTTGAGGTTTAGATCGGATTGTTTCAGTAATCATTCCTCCATGCCCACTTCCTTGTTCTTAATCACAAATCTAATCATGTAATTTTATAAATATTCAAAATTAAATATATTTATCTGCTTATGTAAATACTTTGAGTTAACGTCTGCCGATAGCCCGTATAGGGATCTCATTAACAATCACTTTTGGAACTTTTTAGATTCATTCCAGCAGCCTGTTAATTCGTATTAGACCTAATTGTTTAAATATAACAACATTTGACTTATTTTTACAAAGGATATAAAAGATTAATTCCAAGTTTTGTTTTACTTACCAAGCTCTGCCATTCCACCCCACTGCTTGAACAATATTATCAGCGCTTCAGATACTCATTCTTGCTAAGTAAAAGGATATTTCTTCTCTAGCTGGATTAATAATCAACTTTCTAGATAGTTCATTTGTAATTCTCTTCTGGTTAACCCTTAGCATTACAGCAGTCTTCTCAACACATGCTAATCAATTTATGAAAATGGAAAGGAAAGAGGAAATTTAATAATGTAGGTAACAAATGGAAAGTAAAAATGAGGGACAGTTTAGAATAGCCACAAACGAAAAATTAGCCTGATTTTTTTACACTAAAAGCTATAAATATTTGCTACATGTAACAAAAGCACTCAGGTCATAAACACTGCCAACAAGATACATGGAAAGAAACACCCAGTAGGCTTCCAGCACACCAGTCCTGAGCATAGCAGCCTATGATTATTGCTTTCTTACATGCAGATAAATACAAATCAGCCCTGAGCACAAAAGATTTTTTCCAAATGCTTCTTGTCTCAATAGTTGCTGTCACTTGGTCCCTTATCCTACAAAAAATGCCATCATAGGCCTTATATCTCTTTTCTACAAATGTGATCTATAAGTACTTGCATCAGAATAATGCTTGTAAAAAGTATACACACCTAAGCCTCTCTTCAGAAACCCTAAGCACAACAGGTGATTCTTAACTACATTTAAAATTTGAGAACAACAGCTCCAGGACCATTTCTGACCTCATATAAAAGAGGTCCTTTGGGACCCAGAATGAAATTATTTACTCATTACTAGCTTGACCTTGACCTTTTGCCTTGATTCCAATAACTAAAATTTTCCCTTGTTTTCCTTGTATGTTAGTATACTAGTCCATCTAAAGCCATGATTCCTCCATGGCCTTGGTAATTCTCCACACACACACTATCCAGAAGCTGGAATCTGTCCTTTCATGCCACTTGGTATCTATGGTCTTTAGATTTTTGTGTGCTAAATCTCTAAGTGCCACTTGAGAGGATTGTTGTTTCTGCGTTTTTAGTTTTTGTTTTAGGTTTTTGTTTCTTTGGTTGGTTGATTGGTCCATCTTATGAAACACTTTAATCTCCTATTTTATCTCTCCCTTCCACAACAGATTTTTATTGTGTCCACTGTCTACTGGTCTTTTAGTTAATATATTTTGTCTGATGTATTAACTTTCTTCCAAGGCAGTCCCCATCCTAGCAAACCCTTACCAGTCTGCTCCATATCTGCTATAATGAACAGGACTTACTTAGTCACATCCTGAGGTATGAAATGAACAACTAGCTAAAAGTCAAAACAACAGACACAGAAGCCAATGGTTTTACAAATTGCTCATGTTCTCAGTCAGACTGAAGGAAAAGATGACGACTATAGAAAATGAAGAAGAACCATGAAAAGCTAAAAGAAAATTCACTGAGAAGTAGAAGAGTAGATAAGGTAAAATTAATTTTTAAAAAAATTTAGTTCTAAATCATTTGTGGTTATTTTCATAGACTCTATTAAGAAAGGTCAAAATAAGATGATTGGAGAGAAGGTTAAAGTGACTAAAGACAGGCAAATAAACAACACACGCAGTACATGGCCTCTCTACTACTACCTAGACTTATAATCTAGACTAAGTCTCAACTTTTCATGCCTCAATTCTCCTCTGTAAAATAAATATAACAAACCATATTCTCTGTGTTTCATAGGGATTATTTTTGGGGGGAGGGGAGGTAGTGAAACAAAATCACTTTTATTGAAGAACTTTGAAATGCTAAATATCATGTAAACATAGAAGATACTACAGCTATGTAAATTGCTATTGTGTAAAAAGCTACAATTAACACTTTCACAAAGGACCTGTGGGGATTTTTTACCACTTCACATTATTTTTAAAAGAAACTATAAATTGTACCTGGTGAAAAAAGTAAAAATAGCTTGTGAAATGTCTTTACTAAAGAAGTTTCAAGAATAGGAGCAGTATCAGTTAGAGACAGACTAAGGTAAATGCATCCCAAAACACAGATAAACAATCAGATTAACCTGAGTTTGCCCAGGTCAGACCTAAACCTTGAGAGGCTTACCAGAAGGACTTCCAGATGAGGAAAGGGATCATCTGGAGGACACTGGTGACATGTCTCACCCAGAACCATCCACCTAAAGCTGGAGTTCAGATTGACTTCAAGTGGCAAAAATTCGGGTCATTTGTTACATAACATCATGAGCTAATATTTAATTTTTCTGGATAATGTGGATATATTGAAACTGAGAAAAAGTGAGACTCCTTAGAAAACTAACTGACAAGAATTGTCCACATGAAGAAAAAAAGGAGTGATACTTAACTTAAAATATACACTTCCTTCTTTTAAGTAAATAAACTCATTCAATAAATACTGTTGAGCACCTATGTGTTCAAGGTGTTGTCCAAGAATATGAGCAGCAAAAACAGTCAAAAATCCTCTGCTATCATTGAGCACTCTAATGGAAAAGATGGCCAATAAACTTAAGAGATCTACAAGTTATATATAAAAAGTTGGTAAAGGGACTAGCAGTGGTAGCATAGTAACCTGGTGAAGTTGGCATAGTAGGCTAAGCCTCCACCTGTGGAGCGAGCATCCCATATGGGCTTGGGTTCTTGTCCCAGCTGCTTCACTTCCAATCCAGCTCTCTGCTTATGGCCTGGGAAAGTAGCGGAAGACAGCCCAATTGCTTGGGCCCCTGCAACTGAGCAGGAGATCCGGAGGAAGTTCCTGACTCCTGGCTTTGGATTGAGCTCAGCTCTGGCCATTGTGACTGTTTGGGGAGTGAACCAGCAGGTGGAAGACCTTCCTCTCTCTCTTTCTTTCTTTCTCTCTCTCTCTCTCTCTCTCTCTCTAATTCTATTTCTCAAAGAAAGAAAGAAAAATCTTTTTTAAAAAAAGCTGGTAAAGACTATAGAAAAAGCATTAGAGAGATCAAGAGTGTTTGGAGGACTGCAATTTCAAACAGGATGACCTCACTAAGAAAATGGCATTTTATTTATTTATTTACTTAGACAGGTAGAGTTATAGACAGTGAGAGAAAAAGAGAAAGGTCTTCCTTCCATTGGTTCACTCCCCAAATGGCCGCTATGGCCAGCTCTGTGCCGATCCAAAGCCAGGAGCCAGGTGCTTCTTCCTGGTCTCCCATGCAGAGGCCCAAGCACTTGGGCCATCCTCCACTGCCCTCCTGGGCCACAGCAGAGAGCTGGACTGGAAGAACAACCAAGACTAGAACCCGGCGCCTATATGGGATGCCAGCACCACAGGCGGAGGATTAACCAAGCGAGCCACGGTGCCGGCCCCAGAAAATGGCATTTAAGCTAAGACTTCAGGGAGGTGATAAGGTTTTGTGAAGTATTAAAATCAAGAAGAAATTTTTAATCAATTAAAAATTTTACCACTTTAATAATAAACAGAAGATATTCTTATAGATTAACTTTTGTATTATAATAATGGAAAGTTACACATCAAAAATTTTATGGTAAAAAAAACTGTGGTCATCCATATGATGATATATGATGTACTAATCTAAAATTTTCTCAAAGACAATTAAGATAGAAAAATGCAATAAAATGACTTTTTAAATATAAAATTGTACCTACAGAACGGCCAAACTTTACAATTTTTCTTTCATTTACTCAACAACTATTTTTTGAGTACCTACTATGAGCCAGGCACTGTTCTGGACATCAGAGAGGAGGCAGTAAACAAGTTAGACATGTTCTTTCATCTCATATATACACACAGATAAAAGACTAAAATATATCAAAATGTTACTAGGGAGTAAATTTATTAGTATGAAGTAATAGGGTGAAATTGTAGATTATTTCATTTTCCCCTTTATGCTGAACTATGGTCTAAAATTTCTAAATATTTTCTGAATGATTCCAAAAATAAACCATGGCACTTATATTGATCTAAATATGATGATCCATATTTGTTTGGGATATCTATGTTTGAATAAAGCACAAATTAACAGTTTTATGATATATGCCAAATATACATTGCATTTTTTTAATCATATGGCAATTCTTGTGACTCATTCATCTAAAAATTGATTAACATCAGTTTCATTTCTAAAGATATAAAAACTAAGAAACAGAACAGCTAACTAATTTGCCACATTGGAAATAAGATGTGTTTAAATTGTATATTATAATTATGTGCATGAAAGTATCTCAGTGTTTGTATCAAGAAAGGTTTCAAGACTCTGGAGCCTATGCTACTACCTTAGAGCACATCTCCCTCCACTTCTGCTGAGGGGCTTCAGGTTTTCTTGCTTTGTTTTTGACAGAATAAAACAAAAGAAATTTAAAGAAATGGAGTTTTAGTAGCTACAATAAAGCAGAACCTTACTAGATGCTGGCTTTGTTCCAATTCCCCCCAGCCACTAAAATACGGCATGTGAACTAGTCAGACATGTTCACATAATGCTGTTTCATTCTTCATTGGATTTCAGGCTTTCATATCTAAACAGTGCTGCAAATGGCAATCATTTATTTATCTCCAACTAGCTGAGTTACCTTAGGCAAGTCATTGCAACTTTCCAGTCTCACTTTTCTTATTTTTCAAACAGGAATTTGGACTAGATGATCTCAAAAGGTCCTTAAAAGCTCTGAAGTTGCATGATATTTTATATCATCTATGAGGTAGCTATAATACATTAAAGGAATGTAGATTCTCAAAAGAATAAAGGCTAAGACAATAAGGATGGTTTGCTGGAAAAAGAAAACAAAGGCCCAAGATTAAAAGAGAATTTGAAAATCTTCCCAACCCCCTGGACCAAGTCCAGCTTCAGTCATACAAAGGTTGTTGTGGGACAATAGAGAAAAAAAAAATTGAAGGTTCTTAAATCATCAAAAGATGATCTTTTCTTTTCCTTAAGAAAGATAAAATGCACTTGTTCCTATTCTCCTTTTGGTTCTTAAAACACATACACCAACAATCAAAGTCACAACAAAACATTTTAGTATTGATATAGAAGGAAAATTGAAGTCACTCATTTTGCAGAAATAAAAATATTTTAGATCAAATCACCCAGAGAGGGTGATTTGGTTTTGAGAGTTTTTAAGAAATAACACTGTATTCAATCCTTTTCTATCACCTCTTCTGTATACAAAGCCCCTAGTAGCTCTTTAAATTTTCTTATGTGCATAGGAAAAATTTGTGTTGCATTGCAGCAACATCTAAACAGTTTCCTGTAAACTTTCTGTGATGGAAGTCATAGAATTTATGATAAAACCCTGTAGAGTGGCGAAACAAATTTCTTTCATATTTACCATTCATTTTATTCAGTGTGCATTTGAAGGAAAACCTTTTAAGAGCACCAATAATGTGAGAAAGCCACAACAACTGAATTTATTGTTAAGTATCACATCACTGGTCCTCCTGGGAGTTCAGAAAGCTTAAATCACATTTCCTAACACATTGGAGAGCTTCCCAGAGATGTGATGGCCCATGGAGACAAACCATCCAAAGCACACTGGAATGTAAAAGATGGTAACAAAAAATTATCACTTTGTTTAACAAAAGCAAATTGGAGTCACCCAATTATTACATTTTTCAGCAAATTACAAACTCTCACTTGCTCCATTTGTCTCTTCTCCCTCCCCCACCCCTCCTGTTTCACCTGACTAAACTGTAGGTATTTGTTCCATCACCTGACATAGGGGTTGGCTAGAAATATTAGGAAAAAAAAAAACAATCCACCATTGTTACATGAGACAACAACCTTTCATGTCCTTGAAGCTCACCATGACCTTTCATCTTTCCTATCCCCAATGGTCTCTCCTAACAACTAAAACTACACTCAGTTGGGCTGAATTCCAGATTGCCATAAAAAGAACCCTGTCCTTTCAAAACAAAACCAATTTTTACACCAAGGTGGGGGAGAAACACAAGTCCATTGTTCCCTCACAGATGGAAGTTGGAGTTACTAAGGCAACTGCTCTAATCCTCTTTTTTACCACCTTTTTCACATCACTGGCCTATCAAGTATGCTACCTTTTAACTCATAAGCTCAAAAGCTGGTAGTCTAACTGGCTGCCCTAATTAGCTACGATTTTCACACTACAGACAACATGATGAGCTAATCGAAATTTGCAAAATAATGACGTACCTCCAGCAAATATTCCTCCTCCTGAGGCCCAGTCTTAGAATAACAATAATGAGACCATTATTAGAGAAGGGCATTAAAATGCTGCACTGCTGCTAAACAGAGAACTTAATTGTTCTGGTCTTGTCCATTGAATCAACAACCTATTGTTGTGGACTTGAAAAATAAAGGACTGGAGAATGGGTGCCATGATGATTGGTCTGTGCGGCCATACCGGCACTCTGTAGAATTGTTTTCTTTTGAAACTCTTGATGGACTAGTAGTTTTGTTTAAAAGTAACATAAAAGGCGATTGTCTGGATAAAAAGTCCTATTTATTGAAATCCTTAGAAGCAGTTGCATGGATTTGTTCATGACCCCTGAGATAAAAACATAGTGACCATAATAACACCATTTGTACAGAGCCCTGTTACCACTGCCTACAGTAACATAAGATAAGAGACAGTCTTTTCTGACTACAGTAGGAAGGAAGGAAGTACTTCTGAGCAGAAAACAAGAATGATAAAAGGTCAAATACTGGATAAAGCTCATTAATCTCTGAAAGGGAGACTTTAAAAAATAATGCTAATTTAAGAATTCTATACAAGCACTACAGATTCAAGCACATGTAAAAAGGCACACAGCTTTTTCTTTTCCCACTTTTGAGCTTTTTTCCCTTTGGTGAAAGAAGATTAAAATAAAATGATTATTAAATAACTTAAGCAAGATGTCTTGGGATAACCCACAGAACGAGAAACCCGAAGATTTCCAGATAATGATTCCTATGGCTATCCCCAGTCTATAGTGCAGATAATAAAATACTGAAGTTAAAGGTTAACTAGTGTAGGATTCTTAGCAGTAGAAAAGCACTGTTTACACACTGTAAAAGTGTCTTCTATACACAGCCACAGTACATGTTTTCTGTAAAGTCAGGCAAGGATTTTAGTGTTAAATTGTGGGTGAGGGACGTACATTGTTGCTAGCCAGTACTTGGAATGGGGGTCATTTTATTTCCCACCAAATGAAATCTGCATTATATAAAAATATATTAAATTGTAAATAAGACCTCTTGCTTCATTCAGTCTGTGCTTTGCTTCATTTATCTTCATCTTGTTAGGCTAAATTAATTAACAATCTCACTGTTGCACACTTTCTCTTTTCATTACATCAAATAATGGCCTGTATATGGAGAAAGCCTTCACCGCGGGAATTCTGCAACTCTTCTGCTAAGAAGAGCTTCTCTGTGTCAATGTAGCAATGTGCATTGTATGAGCACTTATTAAAGTTACTTTTCATTGTTAACAACTAACTAAGCAACTAAATTCTTAATATTATCAATAGAAAACCATGAAGAAGAAAACATATATTATAAGTTGCAAGACATATTAAAAGAGGAAAAACAAATCCTATTGGACGTATGTTCAAAACCTGGCTTTAGTGTCAATCGCATATAAAATAAGGAGAAATACATGCAAATTCGCAAGTATGTTTTCATAATTACAACACAATCTTGCATAAAAGGACACATCCCAAGCTGTTCTACTCCTTGCTTTGGAATGTCTAACCTGTGATGAATTGGATGATTAGAATTTCATTGGTAAATCTCATCATTTTAAATCTATAAGAATGGAATGTGTTAAATTCTTTTTTAAGTTTTCTTTTCAACCTGAAACACTGTGGCATCTGGAGTTATGCAAATGGACAAAACAGTAAAGCCCTTTTTAATCTTTTCCTTGATCAACCAGTGCTTCTTTCTCCAATCACAGCTTTGTGCGTGATATCTTTCTGCTAGCATTTCTTATTTAATTAAAACAGACACTGACAGAAGGACATGGATTAGTACTGTAATGATGCATTTACTTAGATTAATCGGAGGCTCCTTTTAAAGTAATGGCTTAAACAAAGAACAAAAGGAAATTGTTATGAAACAGCCTTTTATCCCAGGCAAAGGTCGCATTATGAGGTTTTTAATTTTGTCAGCTTCTGTTATACTCTGCCTTGCTAGTGGAACATGAGAAGTGCTTTTACCCCCAATAAAGCCAGTTATTATAAAAACAGCCATTAAAGCTGCAAATTAAAATGTCTGATTTTAAAACAGGTTACTTAGCTTTCAGAATCCTCTAATTAGCATGTTGTGCATTGTTGTGAGAGAAAGAAGACTAAAATGCTAATGACCTACCGCCAGGTGACCACACTGCTGTGCAAAATAATAAGGACCTTTCCAAGTAATATGCTGAATTAACCAAGTATAGGTCCCTCATCCAACCAACACCTCTTCTAGTACAGCTCCAGATGAATGAAGGGCT